TTTGAGCCACCCTGAGGAGAGATGCCCACTGTTCCTTGCCACTGCCAAAGCAGTAGAGGCAGAGGGATTTCCTCTTTGCCACCTACCCAAGCTTTGACCCTGGCATTAACTGGCCACCTTAGAGGAAACTGGGCCCTGGTAGCAGGTGGCATTGTGTCTGTTCCAATTTGCTGGTTTTCCTGGCTGCACCTTAAAAACAGCAGTCGTCTGCTCCTTTGACCCTCTGCCCCTCCCATTGGTCTCCAGGCCCCAGCAGTATGGGCCTGAAACATTGAGGAAATGCCAGTGACTTATTCCAGAGTGCCTGTTAGGGGAATTTCTCTGAAAAGAACCCTGGGTGTTGAGCAAAAACCTTATTAATATTATTGTTAATGACCTATAATTGGAAGCTTCCTGCCTTTTTTTTTTTTTTTTTTTTTGGGGGTTATTCCTGTGGAAAATACTGAAAAGATTACTAAATTTTGTTTTGTTGTCTTTTATAAAAGGGGAGGTGGAGAGACCCCTTCAGAGCAGGGATTGTGCCGGGAGAGTGCCTCTGACTTTGGGACATTTCATCCACAGAAATTTCCAAGCTGGTGGTTGGTTTGGGGTTCTGGTTTTTGTGTTTGTTTTTTGATTTGGAAAAACAAGCATTTTTACCGTGCACGTAAATTGGTCAGCAGAAAAGGGAGCCCAGGATGGCAGCAAATGGACCAGTGCCTTTGCTGGGTTTTACTTTTCTTTGGGACTGTGAGGGGAGAATGGTTTTTAGAGGTGAGGGTCGGTCCACGTGGAAGAGAGAAGTGTCTCTGTTTGGGGACAGAGGAACTCGGGAGTTCCATCGCATTCCTGCATCTGCTCTTAGCTGCGGCCTTGCCAAGAGAGCCTGCCCTCCTCAGACTGCAGGACCAGACCTCTGCCTCCATCTTTCCAAGCACCGGGGCAAAAAAACACAAAGGAAAGGAAGAAAATTTATATATATATAATATAAAATCACTTGGTGATTAAAAAAATAACTGCTCCATAAATAAAACTCCTAAAGTCACTATGTTTAAAGGGTTTGTTTGTGTTTTTTGTTTTTCGGAAAAATATTGTAAATATATATTTTTTGTTGCTGATTTAGAGTCAATCTCCAATGTTGTGCTAAAAATTTTAAATTAAATGTAAGCATTAAGGGGATAAGTCTTACGCTATCTCAGTTGACACATTGGGGTTATTTTGGGCCAGGGAAGGAGGGAAGCTAGTTGAACTTTGTTTTCTAAAAGTTCTCCACTATTGGTTTTAGAAAGAGCAAGGACATCTTTCCTCTTACACGTGGGAATGGGAGATATTTGTGTAATAAAATTTTTAAAAGACAAAAAAGAAATAGCCTCCAATGGGAAATATTTTAATTTGGGTTTTTTTGTTTTGTTTTGTTTTTAAATAAAAAAGCTTTAAAAACAAAACCAACCCTTTTTGGCTCTGGTGTGTGTGTGTGAGAATATCAAGTCATGCCAATTGGTGTTGGCCTCATCACTCTGGGTAGAAGCAAAGCTGTGGCACCCAGACAACTTGGATCTGCTTAGTAGCTTTTTGTCATTTTAATGTCAGCAGAAGTTGCTTCTAAAAACAATATGTACTTAATCAAGGCAAACTTTTTTTTTAATGGATGTGAAAATTCTAAGTGCCAATAAAGGCAGTGCTTGAAATGACTCTGCTGTCATTTGTAAGACTGAAGGGACCATCAAGGTGTCCTGAGAATAGGCCTGGGCATTTCTGATCTCTCGCCCCCACTGCCACCAAGTACTAAAGCTGCAGAGCAGGCCTCCCTTTGAGGGCAGTGCTTTCTCAAAGTAGCCAAGCAGAGAGCCTGTGATTGGCATTTGTCCCCACCTGCCCTGTGAAAGGAATGTTGAGAACAAGCTTCTAATCTCTAAACATGCACCAAGTGCTACCAAAGAGCAAGCACCTCCTTGGTGGGAGTTCCTGAGCAGGCTCTGGGACCCTCAGAGGATCTAGTGGGTCTCTGCTTGTCCTACTCTCCCGGACTGATGGTTAAAGACCATTTTTGGTTCTGCTGCATGTTCTAGAAACAGATGGGACATTAGATGATGGGCTGACCTGATGTTAGTTTCCTGAGGGTGGATGTGGATATGACCATGTTTGGATGTTATCAGGAATAGAACAGTTAATTTTGCATCCCTGTGCCTCAGAAATCTTCTGCTTCTTGGTATCCTCATCCCTGCATCCGTAGTGGAAGCCACTACAGTTAAAGACCTCCAGCACAGCAACAGCCCCAGGCAGCCTCCCAGCCTTCAAATCAATTCCATCTCCATACCAACAGCCAGACCATTTCTCTCAAGATAGATTTGAGGGCTGGGGTCGTGGCTCAGTGGTAGCTGCTTGCCTAGCATGTGTGAGGCACTTGGGTTCCATTCTTGGCACCACATATAAATAAATAAAAGTTCAACATCTAAAAAAATATATTTAAAAAAAAAAAAAAGATTTGACTATATTTTCTCCTGCTTATAACATAAGTGCATTCAAGCTGGCATGGTGTCACACCTGTAATTCCAGCTACTTGGGAGAGTGAGGCAGGAGGATTGCAAGTTCAAGGCCAGCAGAGGCAACTTAGCAAGGCCCTGTTTAAAAATTTTTTTAAAAGTTCTGGTAATGTAGCTCAGTGATAGACTGGCCCAGGATTAAATTCCCAGTATCAAAACAAAAATAGTGTGTTTATCTCAGGCTTTGTCAATCATGTTTGGCCTCCCGATCCTCTACCCATAGCTGACCTCGGTTCCGCCATCTCTGGGCCTTGGCTTGTGCTGTCCCCATGCCTAGCATACCTTCCTGTGACTTCTCTGTTTCTCCCACAGCTCAAGACTGAATCAGACACTCCCAGGCTCTTCTGATCTTCAGGACTCTAAGGTCAGTCTTCCCACCTGGCCTGTGAACGAGGATCAGTCTGTGCCATTTACCACCTGGGCTGGCAATTGGCACAGTGCTTGGCATTGCTGAGAGAGTGTTCTCAGAAGCTCACTTATACCCCGAGGAACTTCTCTCCAAATGTACTTTTTCTACTACTCCATATCTCCCTACCTACCCCCTCCTACCTGCTGCCTCTGTTTTTTTTTTGTTGTTGTTGTTTTTTACTGTTGTTGTTTTTTTTTTTTTCTTTTGGTGGTGCTGAGGATTGAACCCAGGGCCTTGTGCATGCGAGGCAAGCACCCTACCAACTGAGCTATGTCCCCAGCCCCTGTTGTTGTTTTTTAGATGGAGTCTCACTGTTGTCCAGGCTGGTTTCAAACTCAGCTAACCCTGATGCTCAGTATCCCAAATAGCCAGGACAATAGGCCTAGCTGCCCTTCCTTTCTTATGTGGATACCACTGGCCTCTTTTTTTTTGGGGGGGGGAGGCCATTTCTGATCTAGCCTGCATTCAGCTATGAATTAATCTTTCTTGGGCATATATAAATATCTTCAGTAACCCTCCAGGTAATGTCTAAACTCGGAATACTCTCAGCCTTCCACAGGCAACTAGAATGTGGGAAGCTCCATGGCTGGCACACTTTGGGTCCTTCTAAGAGGCCTCGAACCAGACATCTCTGTGATCCCCAGGCTTGCTGTTTAGAGTATGCCATCCCACCACAATTGAAAAGTCTTCCCTTAGACACCTTCCTGCAGAAGCCTGTCCTGTTTCTTACCAACCAAAAGAAGCTAACCTGGATTTTCTGAGGACATTTCTTAGGTAACTGTATAGTGACACTGGCTACATATGCTAGTCCTTACCAAGTTGGTGGCCACTGTTCCAAGCACTTGTAGTATCTCCTATCAACCTATTCTTTTCCATTTAAAGATGAGAAACTGTAGGCCAGGAGTGTTGGCTCACACCTGTAATGCCAGCAACTTGGGAGGCTGAGGCAAGAAAATGAAAAGTTCAAGGCTAGCCTGGACAACTTCAGGAAACAATGTCTCAATTTTTTTTTTTTTTTGGTACCAGGGATTGAACCCAGAGGCACTCAACACCCAACTACTTTGTATTTTATTTAGAGACAGGGTCTCACCGAGTTGCTTAGTGCCTCGCCATTGATGAGGCTAACTTTGAACTCACGATCCTCCTATCTCAGCCTCCTGAGCTACTGGGATTACAGGCATGCACCGTTGCACCTTTTTTTTTTTTTTTTTTAGAGAGAATTTTTTTTAAAAACATTTATTTCTTAGTTTTCGGCGGACACGACATCTTTGTTTGTATGTGGTGCTGAGGATCGAACCCGGGCCGCACGCATGCCAGGCGAGCGCGCTACTGCTTGAGCCACATCCCCAGCCCCTGCTGCACCCTTTTTAAAAGTGGTAGAGCATCCCCGGTTTCAGTCCTCAGTACCACAAAAATAAATAAATAATATGCTAGGTGTACATCTGTAATGCCAGCCACTCAGAAGGCTGAAGCAGGACTATTGTAGTTTCAGGCCACTCTGGGCAACTTAGCAAGATTCTGTCTCCAAGTAAAAAATAAAAATAAAAAGTGCTAGGGATGTGTTGCAGTGGTAGAGTAGCCCTGGGTTCAATACTCAGTACAAAAAAAAAAAAGAGAGAGAGAAACTGAGCTATGGACAATGAATAATTTTCCCAAAGTGACTTGGTTAGTAAAATCCAGAGACTGACTCTGGCTCCAGAATCTGCATTCCCCAGGCTGTTCCCCAGCCTCTCTGTTCATGGTTCTAGGCAGCTGTCTTCATCCTACAGGTAACAAACAAAGCCAAGGCTCAGGAGGTAAAGTATGGGTATGAAGCTCAGTGGTAGAGCTGGGACTCCACAGCCTACTATGCCCTACTGAGCATCCTGGGTGAGAAGTGTATCCAGGTCTGTCCCAGGAGTAGGGGATAAGATGTCCTTATTCTGATTGTAATGAGAGATAGCTAAATGGAGATTGGAGGCAGAACCAGTTCGTGGTGAAAACCCCATGCAGTCAAGCCAGACTCTGCAATCCCAAGGACCCAAGCTTAGCTTCATCCTTTGCTCTCACCATCCTGAAATTCTTAAGACTTGTGAATGAGGGACCTGAATTTTATTTTGCACAGGGCCCTGCAGGGTGTAGCAGGTCCTGTGGGGAGAGGCATCCCAGCTCCCCCAACCCCAGGCCAGCTCTGCCAGGTGTGGCTTGAGTGGCCAGCAGCACCTCGGGCCTGGCACCTGCTAGCCGCAGAGATCCATTCTCCTCCCATCATCTTTCCAGTTCCACATCTTGCACGAAAGAAAGGCTCCTCATGCCATCAGTTTGCTGCCTTTGCTGTCCTTCCCCTTCCCAACTTGCCTCTTCCCGGAGGCCACAGCCGCAGGAAGCGCCAGTTGCTGACTCCCCTTGAGTGTGCCATGAGGGTGCTAGCACAGTAGACAGAGAGACCTAGAGCAGGACAGACAAAAAAGTGGTAGAGGGAGGAAGATAAATGAGAGAAAAGAGGCCTTTGGAGGACATCTAAGGGGAGACATAAGGGAGGCACAAGATATTCCAGAGTGACGCTTCACACACTTTATCTCGGTTAATTTTTTTTTTTTAGTTGGGCAGAATGACTTTATCTTATTTGTTTATTTTTATGCGGGGCTGCGGATGGAACCCAGTGTCTCACGCATCCTGGGCGAGCGCTCTACCACTGAGCCACAGCCACAACCCCTCCGTTACTCTTCCTTCAGAAGAATCAAACGAGGCCATGCTCAGAGAGTTTAAGTAACTTGCCTAGGGCACTCAGCTGAATAACAGGATCGACCCATGTCTTTTCCATCTCCTCCCCGCACCACGCATGCACGCACACTCACAGCAAGTACCCGCGGCCACAGCGCAGGGGCTGTGAGCCAAACACTCGGGCCGGTTGGGAGTGTCAAGGCATAAACGCAACAGCTGCGAACACAGCAAGCTTTGAGGCCAGGCTGAGCGGCGCCGGAACGCATGCGCATTGGTCAGGACTCCTGATGGCCGCGACTAGGGCCCAAACAGGGTGGGGCGGGACCAAGACTAGGCGGAGCCAGAACGGGGTGGGACATGTCCAAGGCTGGGCGGGGCCAAGGCTAGGCGGAGCTGGAGCGGGGCGGGGCGGGGGCAGAGGGGGGGGGCCGGACCAGGATACCGCACGCGCCAGGGACAGGACGCAGGGCGAAAACCTTGTCCAGGACTCGGCCAGAGCCGCGTGAGACCCACATCCCAGCAAAGCGGAAAGGAGACTAGGACCGGGAGCAGTGCAGGGATGGTGATCTTCCGGAGGTCCCGGGGAAAAGGTGCTGTCCTGAAGGCAGGTCCTGAGGAACCAGCAGCACTGGCAGGTCCTTGGCCTGTGTGTGAAGGCGCTAAGGACCCGCGTCCTGGTGATATGGGTGTCTCTTCGATAACCTGGCCCCTTTCCTTTCTCAGGGACTCTCCACGACTGGAAAACTCTCTTTTTCTTATCTCTAATACAGCTGCCTTCCTCCCCTTTTTCTGGCTCTGGGGAAAACACCCCTTCTGCAGAGGTTTTCCTAGCTTCACCTGAGAAGGCTCCTGGCTCTTGAAACTTGTGTGTTGGTGTGGGTGAGGGGGTCCTCATAAGGATATTTGCAGCAGTATAGGAGATCAGCTGGCCTCTAGGATCAGTGACCTGCGCTGGATAAGAGCTCAATAAATTTCAGCGACTATCATGCATTGTTTGCTCATAAATTCAGTCTGTTTCTTCCTGTGTTCCTTGTCTAAGGCCAAGCACCAGTGTGTGGAGTGTGAGAGGAGCTCAACAAATATGGTTAAATGGATGAGTGAAGGAATTCCCGAAGCTCAGCCAGGCCTTCAGTGTCTGAGCTGTCCAGGAGACTGGAGTTTCTCCAGGTCAGTCTGGCTCACAACTGGGGAAGCCTCCAAGCTGCTCTCCTACTCTTCAAAGCTCAGGATGTCCAAGGCCCTGGGTTCAATTCCAAGGCCCTGGGTTCAATCCCCAGCACCAAAAAAAAAAAAAAGCTCAGGATGGAGAATAAAAGAGAGAACTTGCATTTCCAGGCCTTAGCATGTGCCAATCCTCACCCCCAGCCTCCCTCACACTCACATGCTTACAATGTCATGTCCAAGACTTGCCCCAGTCCTCCCCCACCTTTCCGCTGATCTCTTCTCACCTCCTACAATATGGCTCTTGCCAGGTTATTTGAAGATACATATTTAGGGTTTTTCTTCCCCACCAGACTGGACCATCACTGAGTCCTGTAGTCTTTGCAGCCCTAACTCTGTGCCATGCATCTTGCTGGAGGTCAGAGATGCAAGACAAACAGGGACAGCAAAGAAAAGCCCTCTGAGTAGGAACATTTTAGGCTATGAGCAAACAGGATGAGCAAGACCCTGCCATATGGGGAGGAAGGAGGAGGGGACTGCAAAATTGAGGCCCAGAGGTGCAAATGGACTGGCTTGCTCTAGGAAGACCAGACAGAGTGGAGACCAGAAGGGTTGAAGGTGCTGAGTTAGAAATCTGGGCAGGGCTAGACTGCAGGCCCTGCAGGCACAGTCATTGGAGGTGGGGGTTTAGTTCAGGCCTGTGAAAAAGAAGCAGGTATTCCAGAGAGGAGGCAGGTATAAGAGGTAGCAGGAACTAAGACCATCTTCACCAGGGCTCAGTGGAGGATGCAGGGCATGTTTCAGAGACAGGCTCAGCCATAGTGCCAGTGACAGACGGTGTTCAAATGGGGGCCAGAGACAAGCTGTAGGAGAGAGGAATAGATTATGGAAAACGGAGAATCCAGGACTGAGATGGGGAGGCGGTTGGACAAGGGCTGGGTGGTGGGAGCAGGAGCTCAGTGTGGGCCTGGTTGAGTTTGCAATACCTATTAGTCACCCAGTGGGGACGCCAAATAGTGATGTGTGAACAGACTGCCAGCTGGACAGAGATGGGGTTCCTCTTTTCTTTGCACCCCAGGCATATTGGCCACAGCCCAGCACAATCTGGGCACCAAAGATTCAACAAACCTGACAAGCTAGCCTGAAAGGTTAAGTTTACAATCGACCTTTGCAGAACCACCAGAGGGCAGCACCATCCCACAGTCCAACCTTCCCAGGGTCAGGACCTGGCCCTGGGCCCTAAGCCTGGGGCTTCTCAGAGCCACTTTCCCAGGTTCCAGGAATCAATGAGGTGTGCCCTGAATACCAGCTCTCTGGAATGGCCCCAACCTCAGGCCTGGCTGGGGCTGTGGGTCAGGTTATGGGTGAGATGGCCAATCTGGGTTTTCAGGTGGTGGGGGGAAGGTGGGGCTGCCTTCTGGAGCTGGATGGCTGACATTTCTGAACCCACACACAGACTCTGGCCTGACAAGTTCATCAAGCAGCAGAATTTTTTTTTTCCCTTCTCTACTAGGGATGAAACCCACTGCCTTACTCATGCTAGGCGAGGACTCTACCATTGAACTACATCCCCATATCCTTAGTTTATTTATTTATTTATTTTTAAAATTTTTTAGTTGTAGATGGACTTAATACCTTCATTTTTTATTTTTACATGGTTCTGGAGATTGAACCCAGTGCCTCACGCATGCTAGGCAAGCACCGTACCACTGAGCCATAACCCTGGCCCAGTTTATTTATTTTTAATATTTTTCTGGACAATGTCAGATGTAAATTTTATTTTTATTTTATTGATTGATTTATTTTTTGTGGTCCTGAGGATCAAACTCAGGACCTCATGCATGGTAGGCAAACTCTTTACTACTGAGCCACATCCCCAGCCCCTTTATTTTATTTTTTGAGACAGGGTCTGCTAGATTGTTCAGGCTGTACTTAAACTTGTGCACATGGCCATAACTTTAAAAATAGGGGTCTTCTGTTCCAGAAAACCCAGGCCAGTGTGTGGCTGTACTTTCAGTCCCAAAGAGTCAGGGCAGGAGTTGGAGTTATGGCTTAGTGGTAGAGTGCTTGCCTGGCCTGGCATGCAGGGGGCACTGGGTTTGATTCTCAGCACCACATATAAACAAATAAAAAGGTCTATTGACAACTAAAAAAAAAAAAAAAGAGGGTAGGACAGTGGCAAGACATTAGAGACCTACTGCTAGGTCATCCATCCCTGTTCTACTCCAAACTCCATGTGCCCCAAGGGCTCATTCATTCAATCATTCCTGGATCACTCAGTCACTCACTCATTCATTCACTCACTCATCAAAAACTGACTGATGTCTTTCTTTGTCTGGTCCTGGACATGGTGGAAGAGATGAAACTCAGGAACATCAGTTATGGTGGGATACAATGTGTACCTCCCCATACATCAACATTTCTGACATCCAGTGCATTTTCAAATTTTGATGCACACATGTGCATCAATCTTTACCTCCCACTGTCAAAACTTGCAATGTTGCATGTTGCAACTTAAATTAGGGAAACAGGGCCTAGTGAGTGACAGGAGTAGTGATTGAGATGTATATAGTTGGGGTCAGGAAGTGCTACCTGGAGGGGTTACATCTGAAAGGATGAGCAGGAGCTGGGTAGGGAAGAAGGCACCCAGATAGTCTTCCAGGCTCAGGGATAGCAGAGGCACAAAGGTGAGAATTGATGATTACTGAGGGAATTTCAAGTGCAGAGGATGGTGGCAAATTGAGCTGGAGAGGGGAGCAGGGCTCATTCATCCAAACCTTGACCCCCCACTTTCAGTAGTCCCAGAGGGCCTGAAGAGCTGCTGCTTGGTACTAAGTAGGAGGTGACTCCATCAGGTCTAGATTTGGGAACCACATCTCTGGTCAGAACCTGCATTAGGGCATGGCATGGGCATGTGGGAAGGTCAAGAAGATTCTCAAAAGGCCAGACAGGAGGCTGTGGTAAAGCAGGGAGAGGTGGGGGGAAGAATCAAGGAAAAAAAGCCTAGGGTTCTGGCTTGGGTATTGGAATGGGTGATGGCATCACCCACTGACAAGGGGAACTTGCCATCTCAGATTTGCTCTGCTGATCAAAGAATGCAGCCAGAAGTGCATGGGGAAGGCGTCCCTGCTTTGCAAAAGGTACCTGGTAGCTGGCCCATGAACTGACATGAGAATGGAGTTCTATGAGTCCTGGGCTGGGAGGAGGGGTCCTGCCATCTTAAGCAGAGAGGGACTCCATAGAGAGGCATGTTGAGATGGAGCTGCTTGCTGCCCTGACATACACAGATTCCCCTGCTGAATGAACTCTCAAACAGGGGGATTCCCCTTGCCCAGGAGTAATGAGACCTTATAACCCCTCCTGGAAAAGGCTGGGGGAGGTCTGAGCCCTATGCTGTGAGATTATCATGAATGAGCCTCTGGATGGGGTGGTGTGGGGAAAGAAGCTGGGCCAAGTGTACTGGCCAGAGACCTGGGTCCACAAGGGTCCTTGATCCTGAGAGGGACTCCTAGGGTCAGGATCAAATCTGGAGCAGCATGGATAAGGGTTGGGTCTGGTGTGCACCTGTGGTGACCTATTAAAAGTTCTAGCTGCTGGGTCTAGGATTCTGGTCTGGAGTTCATGGTTTGGCCTAGGACTAGAATCAAGGTTATGGTCTAAAGCCTGGATCCTGGGTCTCGGTGGAAATCTTGGGTTAGGAGTGTTTTGCAGGCCTGGGGCCAGCCTTGAGGTCTGGTTGTGGACCCAGGGCTGTGACCTAAGGTCTAAGGGGGGGCCCCACGGTCTCAGTCTGGGGTCCTGTTTGTTCTCTGAAGTCAGGGTTGTTATCCAAGTAGTGTCAGGATGGACTGTGGTGTCCGAGGTCAGGGAATCGGGTGTTATAGTCAGGGTCTGGGAACCAAGTTTCCGGATCATGTTCTGAAGTCTGAGTCTGGGGTCTTGGTCAGTGTCCAGGGTCCTTGTCGCCATCCACGCTGGGTCCCTTGTGGAGTCCGGGATCCGGAGATGCGGTCCGAGGTCGTAGTCAGGGTCAGCGTCTGGGCGGGTGTCTGGGGCCCCGGTCGCGACCCAAGGTGGCCAGCGGGACTGCGTCCGGCCCCCGCCCGCCCGCCCGCCCGCGCG